AGGAGCAACAAAAGACTGAAGAGCAACAGCAAACCCAGCCTGAAAATAAGGCAGAGTCTGAAGAAATGGAGGTAAGAGGAGCATTTGAGACTTTATTTTCATGAGATTTGTGAGAATATGAGGAGTGTGAGCACATCTGCAGCCTTTGTCATAGTTCTGGAAGCTGAACATTTATTTCAGTGCACTGGTGGTCTATTGTGATTAGAGCTTTAGAAAGGACACAAATGGCACTGATAACTGCAGACCTGTCAGGTGACCTGGTACTGATAAAATGGGGGAACTCTCCTGTTCAGGGAAGCAATAATCATCTAGTTTTCAATAACTTGAATACTAGAACAGGTTTCTGCCATGAGCACCAACCCCTATGAATATAGAGTGCCCAGAAAAGGTCAGTTTATTAATTGTCTGCATTAATTGTCTCAGGCTTCAGCAGCTGAGGTGTCAGAATGGCAGGGAGTGCTTGGTTCTCTTGTTGAGGTGCTCACTCAGTTTTTCTGATGTAAATCTTGACTGCTCCCCTTAAATTGAGTGGTGATGCTGTTTTTACTGTGAATGTAATTCTATTTTAATGCAGACTTCTCAGGCTGACTCAAAGGACAAGAAAGTGGATCAGCCACCTCAGGCCAAGAAGGCCAAAGTGAAGACGACCACAGTGGACCTTCCCATCGAGAACCAGCTGGTGTGGCAGATAGGGAAGGACATGCTCAACTTGTTCATTGAGAACGAGGTAAACTCTTCCTGCCCAAGCTAAAAATGTCACCTGTCGGTCTCCAGAAATGCTGATTTTCATTAAAATGGTTAAGGAAGGTCAAGGAAAGGATTAAAAGGAATAAAACAAGAAGTCTGAGGTGAACAACAGTGCCCCGTGGAGGCAGAATACATTCATTGCTCCTGGTCAGGGGAGCTGTCACTCTCAAAGGGCTGTTCTGCAGAAAACCTCCACTATCACCTGCAGGTACAAGGTGGAGGAGGTTCCTCAGCTGGAGGAGGATTGTCCTGTGCTGTACTGGACATCACACCAAAACTGAAATCAGTTTTCAGTCATGTGCTGTGTTCTGTAAATCACAGTTTTGCCAAATCTTGATCTGGTTTGAGCCTTTGCTAACAAGGTGTCCTGGAAATAAATGTTAAATAATGAACTTTTTAGCCAATTAATTTGACACTTTGTTCACAGGGTAAGATGATAATGCAGGATAAGCTGGAGAAGGAGAGGAATGATGCCAAGAATGCAGTGGAGGAGTACGTGTATGAAATGAGAGACAAACTCTGCGGTGTTTATGAGAAATTCGTCAGTGAGGATGTGAGTATTGCTGCTTGACTGTCCTGATGCATTGTGGTACAACCAGCAGTTGGATTTAGTGACTGTTGGCCTGTATCACATACTATATTTATATAAGTTACATATTCAAACTTTAAATTTAAAGAAATAATTGTAACTATTCTGCCTCTGATGATAATTTACTAAATGTGGGCACCTGTATCTGAACTGGTTGCCTAAAAATCTCTTGGCACTATTAGTCAGCTTTCTCTGTTGTACTGAATTTGGTGTGTAATGGATTTAACTCTGCTGCTAGGGATGAACCTTTGAGCACCTGGCTGCATCTCCATTGACTGCAATGGAGCTTTGCCAGCCAGGTGTCTGCAGAGCCCAAACTGGGACATGCCAGGTAGCCCAAACTGGGACATGCCAGGTGACATTTATGGCACCTTTGTAAAAGAAGAGTTTCCCTCTGTTCTCAGGCTTGCTCATGTGGTGACAATGAAAGCGTGCGGGGGACAAAGAATCCTTTGATGTGACAGTATTTGATCTGAAATGTGGCTGTCATACATGGCTCTTCCTTGGGCTTGGAATCCACCACAAAGCTCTACAGAAGAATATTTTATTTCTTATGTTTCACTAAAATAGGATAAAGAGTTCCAGACAGAGTTCTTTATATTCTAAAAATACAAGCCTTCCAGAAAGGTTCCAGGTACCGTTTAATGCCACTTGTCACCTAATAAATGGTGTCACCTGCCTGTTTTATGTGCCTTGCTGCAGGACCGCAATAGCTTCACACTGAAGCTAGAAGACACAGAAAATTGGCTTTATGAAGATGGTGAAGACCAGCCCAAACAAATATACATTGATAAATTGGCAGAACTGAAGGTGAGTGGTTTTTACATTCCCATGGGAATTTACCAAAGCTGGAGAACTTTGTTCCAGCGAGGAGCTGTGTGGGGTCTGCTGATTCTGAGGTAACAACAGCCTGCTCTGCACTGTGTGTGGGGAGTAGGATTCCAGCAGACCTGTAACACCAGGGCTGAGGGAGGCTCAGTCTTTGCTGTCAGTTGAGGGAAGAGTCAGAGTTCTGAGGAGTTCAAGAAAGTTGATGTATCCTGTCAAACCCTGAGGATCCCTCAGTGATGCTCCGTGAGTTTTGATACCTGTTGTGCTTTGTTTCAGACTCTGGGTCAGCCTATTCAGGCAAGATTCCAAGAATCAGAGGAAAGACCAAAAGCATTTGAGGACTTGGGGAAGCAAATCCAACAGTACATGAAAGCTGTTCATGCATTCAAAGCAAAGGTATTTTCACACTTAATTTCTGAAAAATGCAAGCAAATTGTACAAATATTTTCTGAATTTTAGGTAACCTGCTTCAGACAAAAATCTGGTTCAACCTCCCAGTAAGCTTAGGAGTTCTTGATGTTTAATATCTTTTCAGAAGTGGATTTTGGGCCTTACACATCTCAGTCCGTTTTTAATCAGGTGTTGATTTCCCCATGGAGGCAAAATGCCAGCAGCAGCAGATCTTCAGTCTCTGGTTACCGAGCTGTGCGTGATCAGTTCTGTTGATTTGTTAACCACAACAGCTCTTGGCTAAGTGGTCTTTTAGTATTTTGAAGCTAAGTTTTGAGGAAATCAGGATGCAGTTTGTGCTCATACGCTGACACAGCTGCTCCTGTTTGGGTGTTGCAGGATGAACTGTATGAGCATCTCGATGAAGCAGACATGGCAAAGGTGGAGAAGAGCACCAATGAAGCCATGGAGTGGATGAACAACAACCTCAACCTTCAGAACAAGAGGAGTCTTACTTTGGACCCAGTTATAAAAGCAAAAGAAATACAGTCTAAAGCAAAAGTAAGTTTTTCTGCATAACTCACTGTATTTCCATGAGTTTTTGTGTTTATTACTCTCAGAAAACTCTGAGGTGAGAAATCTCAAAAGTACCAGGGAACATCAGCCCTCAACTGGATTATTCCCAACAATGGTTTCAAAAGTTAAACTGTGGGAAATAAAACCATTTCTAAGGATGTGTTGTTTCTGTGTTCTCCAGGAATTGGCAAGTATTTGTAACCCCATAGTGAACAAGCCCAAACCCAAGGTGGAGCTGCCCAAGGAGGAGCAGAAGCCGACGGAACCCAACGGACCATTGGACGGGCAGGGCGACGCCGGGAGCGGCACCCAGCCCCCCGAGCAGGGTGCTGCCCCCACAGCCACCGACAAGAAGCTTCCAGAAATGGACATTGACTGAATTTCAGCACTTGTTTATATTATTGCAAAATACAATAAAGCTTTAAGTTGTCAACTTTGTACGTTCTGAATACAAACTGAAGCAAGTGAATCCCACAGCACTCTTGGTAACTCTTGGAGAGGTTTGGGCAGGGCGGCAGGTCAGAACACGGAGGTGGCGAAGGACTCGCTCGGCTCAGCAGTGTTTGCCTTTATTGATTGTATTTAGAAGTTTTGGTAGTCTAACTAGACCTCTAGGAACAGCCATAAGCTGCTTCTCCATTTTTAATGTCCAGGCTGAGTCAATTCTCCCTTGAAGGAGGGAGACGGCAACATCTGAAGTCTGATGTGCATCCTGCTCTTCCCTTTCCCTGTGGATTGCAGCGCTGGCACTCCAGGGAGGGCGGGGGAGAGCCAAGGCAGAGTCTTCCATTGCTCTTGGTTTAGTGTGAATGCCTGCTCTGGACTCACTCTGATTTGCACTGGAACAGTTGATGGTTACAGGAGGTTTGCAGAGCAGGGGGTGGCTCATCAGCACCTTTATTCCTTAGCCCAGACTGCAGATCAGACTCAGAATGTGCTCCTGGACAGGGGAGTGGGTTTCTCACAAACTCCCCAGCTAATTAGGCCCTGTAAACTCCTTGTCTTTAGTTAAATTAGCTGCTTGTAGAAAGAGTGAATACTTGTATTTCAGCTGCCTATGCTGATAGTTGATTCTGACTTGTTCCTAACTTTTTCTGGCAGGGGTATGCTTGCTTCCACGAGGCCTTCATTTGGAATGCTTGGTTTTTTGTTTTGGTTTCTTTTTTTCCAGGAAAACCAAGAACTGATGGATATGTTGGTTTGTTTTGTTTTGTTTTTTTTTTTTTTCTATGAGCTTTATACAATGAATTGCTTCTAGTACTGATTGTCATTAAACTTGCAAAAATTAATTTGTATGTGTTAAAATCCCAAGCTGAAAAACACCCATTCAGTTATTGCAAGAAATAAATGCACTGGATTCTACTGGATCACCTGCTGCAGCTGTTGATTGCAATGCAGAGGGGCCGGGGTGGAGGGAAGAGCTGTGTCCCTGGTTCTTGGGGTGTGCGGGGAGCTCTGCGGGGCTGCTCCGGGGCTGTGCGGCTTCCCACGGGGTGTGGATGGGTGCGGCGGGTGTGAGTTTAAGCTCCCTGCAATGAATCACAGCCATGGAATGCCCCGCGTTACAAGGGAGCCATAGGGCTCAGTGAGTCCCGCTCCTGCCCCTGCACAGCCTCCCACCGTGCCCGTCCCGGGGGAGCCCGCCCAGTGCCCGAGCCCCGCTGCTGGAGGCGCCGCTGTCTGCCCGCTCGGTCGCTGCCGGGGCCGGGGAGGGGCGGCAGGCGGGGCCCGGAGCGGCACCGAGCACCCCGGGCTGGGCCGGCCGGGCCCTCCCGGCCGCCGGGGGAGCTGCGGGGCCGGGCCGGCGCCTCCTCCGCCCGCCGGCGCTTCCCGTCCCTTCCCTTCCCTTCCCTTCCCGTCCCTCCCCGCCGCCGCTCTGCGAGGGGCAGGGCCGGGCTCCCCTCGCTGTCCCCGGCCTGCGCGGCCCGGCCGCGGCAGCCCCGGTGAGGAGCAGGTGAGGAGCGGGTGCGGGGGGGCCGGGCCGGGCCGGGCTGTCCCCTCAGGGCCGGGTCGGGCCAGGCAGGGCTGTCCCCTCGGGGCCGGGTCGGGCTGTTCCCCCGGGGCCGGGCCGGGCCGGGCCGGGTCGGGCTGTTCTCCCGGGGCTGGTCAGGGTCGGGCTGTTCCCCGGGACCGGGCTGGACTGGGCAGGGCTGTCCCCGGGGCCGGGTCGGGCTATTCCCCCGAGGCCGGGCCGGGCTGGGCAGGGCTGTCCCTGGGGCCGGGTCGGGCTGTTCCCCCGAGGCCGGGCCGGGCTGGGCAGGGCTGTCCCTGGGGCCGGGTCGGGCTATTCCCCCGAGGCCGGGCCGGGCTGGGCAGGGCTGTCCCTGGGGCCGGGTCGGGCTGTTCTCCCGAGGCCGGGCCGGGCTGGGCAGGGCTGTCCCCCCGGGCCGGGGCGCAGCGGTGGCAGCGGCCGGCGCCGCCATAGCCGCGGGGAGCTGGGCCTGGAGCGCGGGGTCGGGCCCGGAGCTCGGTCCCCGCTGCTGCTGCGGCTGGAAACGAGCCCCGAGCCCTGGGCGAGCCGTCGGGCCCGGGGCACCGGGCGGACTCTCACCCCGAGCCCGGGCTGACGGTGGTGCTGGTGTGTGTCCGCAGCAGCGCCAGGCCGGGCGTTCCCCTCAGCAGCGCCCTGCCCCTGCCTGGAGCCAGGAGAAGCGGCCGGCCCCGGAGGGATGCTCGGGGAGCGGCTCCGCGGCCCGGCCTCCGCGCTGCTCTGACCCGAAAGGTAACTCGCAAACCGGCTTTATTTATATAAAGCCTCAAAATGGCTTGATTTCCCCAGTTGTGGAGCTGAGATGCTCCACGAGTGCATCTACAAGATGCGTGTGCGAGATTGGAACCTTTTTTTGATATTTTCAATCATAAATGGGACTGTTTCCCTGTTTGCCTTTGAGCACTGGACAAGAGCTACTGTTACTAATTCATTTCTCTTGTGTTTTTTTGGGGGTCTGTTTCCTTCCAAACATCAGTGAAATGTCCCTGTGTCACCTGTTTCATCTCCATATTTCATTATTTCCCCCCTTACAGCTGTTTTTACCTAATAACACAGTTTGCTTTCTGACTTTTAAATATTCTGTTGGGGATTTTTAAAAGATTTTATAAAGCTACCGATATTTTTTTCAACCTTTAAAATACTGTAATTATATTGCACATTGGTTTAGATTGTTTTTTTCTAAAGTTTAGCTGTGTTTTTCTAAAGTTTACTATGCTATAAAATAGCTGCCTCAGATTGATAATTTGAATTGGATGTATTAACTTGGTTGATGTTGCAGAGTGGTGGCAACTCTACAGAAAAGTTAAATGTCTTCAGAGGACAAGGAGGCTCAGGAGGACGAGCTGCTGGCTCTGGCCAGCATCTACGATGAGGATGAGTTTAAGAGAGCAGAGTCTGCCCAAGGAGGAGAAACAAGAATTTGCCTGGAGTTGCCTCAAGACTTCAAAATTTTTGTGAGGGGTGAGTTGAGATGTTTTGTGTTTTCCCAAGGGAGGCTTTACCGAGCTCAAGTGGTTGCTGGGGACCTGAGGGAGCAGTGATGGGACAAAGCTGTGGCTCACCCTCTGCTGAGCTTGTTGGGGATTGTTTGAGCAGTTTAATCCTCATACACAGAACGTCCTCAGTAAACTCTGAAATCACAGATGAGTAATAGCACTTCTTCAGAATAATTAAGTTTATTGGGTTTTTATTGCACTGAGGAATTGTTTCCAGGCTCCTGGTTTGTGCAGAATCTGACATTTCACAGTGCTGCTGTTTAACTGCTTTAATCACAGACTTCCAACCCTTGACATTTTCCTGCATTGAGAGTTTTGTTATTTAGGGTGGAACAAATAGTTTTAACCCCAGAAATCCATCAAATTAACAGACATTGGGTGCTGTCAGAAACAGCAACAGTTGGTTCATTTTCATTTTTCTGTTATTTCTCCTGTGCCTCGGTGGCCCTGGCTCAGGCAGTTCCACAGAGAATCTCCAGGGCAGTGGCTTCGAGTACTCCGTGAGCTTCCTGCCTCCCCTCGTGCTGAATTTCGAGCTCCCACCTGACTACCCATCGACCTCCCCGCCCGTGTTCACCCTCAGTGGGAAATGGCTCTCCCAGGCCCAGGTTTGCAGGGGATTTTGTACATTTTGACTGCTAAGTTAATAATTAACAGCTAAGCAAAGTAAAAAAACAATGACGTTGCTCCTGTTGGCTCTTCTCTTGTCTCTTGCTGGTTTTTATTTGATTACTGTTCTGAGGAGGGAAAACTTGCATCTGTGAGAACTACTTTATTCAGCATAAAAACTGCTGAGTGTGAAATCAAAGTTTGCACTAAGGACTGTGTGAGGGGAGGAGCCCAGTGAGGAGTTACAAACTTCCTGAAATCAGGAATTCTTTGTTCTCTCCCAGCTCAGCGCCCTTTGCAAGCACTTGGACAATGTGTGGGAAGAGAACCGAGGCTGCGTGGTGCTGTTTGCCTGGATGCAGTTTCTGAAGGAGGAAACACTGAATTACCTGAATATTTCATCGCCATATGAGCTGAAAATGTGCCCTCAGGGGAAGGGGCAGGGCCGGACAGCAGCGGGGCCCCTCGAGGCTGGGAAGGACTCTGGGGGTGCCACGGGCTCTGCCACAGCCGAGGAGGAAAGCGTGGATGCCAGGGCTGTGCAGGATGTGGAGTCCTTGTCCGGTCTGATCAGGGAGATCTTGGACTTTGACCAGGCCCAGAGGAGGAAGTGCTTTAACAGCAAGATGTACTCGTGCAGTATCTGCTTCTGTGAGAAGCTGGGCAGCGAGTGCATGCACTTCCCCGAGTGCAGCCACGTGTACTGCAAGGCCTGCCTGAAGGACTACTTTGAGATCCAGATCAGGGATGGGCAGGTGCACTGCCTCAACTGCCCCGAGCCCAAGTGTTCTTCTGTCGCCACTCCAGGCCAGGTAATTCCCGTGCACAGGGCTGGGAGCTCAGGAACCCAACCTGGGTTCAGGGCCTGGCCCTGCATGCTGGGCATTGGCAGTCACAGAGTCATTGGGTCAGAAAAGACCCCCAAGGTCACCAGGTTCAGCCTTTGACCCAGTCCCACCATGTCATGAAGTGCCACATCCTTTGGCACCTCCAGGATGGGCACTCCAACCGTCCCTGGGCAGTTCCAGTGCCTGAGCCCCCTTTCCGTGGGGAAATTCCTGCTGTGCCCACCCTGAGCTGCCCTGGGCCAGCCTGAGGCTGTTCCCTCTCCTGTCCCTGTTCCATGGGAGCAGATCCTTGAGCCCCTGTGACCTGCTGGAGAATCCAAAGTGTATTCATCTGAGCTTTTGGTACCTTGTCAGTGACTTGCTGTTTGTTGCTGCAGCAGGCTCAGAATTACAGATGCAAGGAATCAGGGAATCCCAGACTGGAAGGGACCTTAGAGCCCATCCAGTGCCATGGCAGGGACAGCTCTCACTGTCCCAGGGACACCTCCCAGTGTCCCAGGTGCTTCCAGCCCTCCCAGCCCGGCCTTGGGCACTGCCAGGGATGCAGGGGCAGCCCCAGCTGCTGTGGGCAGCTGTGCCAGGCCTGGGTGTGCGTGGGTGAGGATTTGTTCCCTTGGGCTGTGTTGGCAGGTGAAGGAGCTGGTTGGGGAGGAGCTGTTTGCCCGCTATGACCGCCTGCTGCTGCAGTCCAGCCTGGACCTGATGGCTGACGTGGTTTACTGCCCCCGGCCCGGCTGCCAGACCCCCGTGATGCAGGAGCCCGGCTGCACCATGGGCATCTGCTCCTGCTGCAACTACGCCTTCTGCACCCTCTGCAAGATGACCTACCACGGGGTGTCCCCCTGCAAGGTCACTGCAGGTCAGTCACCTCCCCTGGGCTCCACGGTCACACCCGCTCACTGCTGCATTGGGGTGGGAAAGTCCAGAGCTGGGCAAGGCAGCTCCCCACCTGAGCCTTCTGAAGGGTGCATTCCTTTGGAGGAGGGCACTTGCTGGCAATTAAATATTCCTTGGGTGAGACTCCTCAGCTCAGCAGCTCTCTAAACTGCTGCTTGTCAAATGCTGAGAGGCTGTAGCAGGGGAAGAATTCCTTTATATTTTCGGTATTTTGTATTGCCAGAGTTAATACTGGAATCAGGTGGAAGCTTCTCTCTCTAGCCTTAAAATTCTGTGACAAAATTTCATTAAATATGTAGTCAGAAAAAAATATTTCCATTTTCAGTTTATCTTACATTGTTCTAATTCCATCAATAGGTCTCTTCTATAATAAAACAGTGTAAAACTGCTGAATGTTGGGGCAGAGTGGTTTTAATAGTATCATCTTATATATTTTAATAGTTTTCTTGCTTTTTAATTCATGACATTATTGTTATTTGAGAATCTTTGTGCTGCAATTAGCTGGACTTGTAAATCTAATATCTTACAAAAGCTGTCTGGTTTGGTTTGATTTTGCCCCCCAGAGAAATTAATGGAATTGAGGAAGGAATATTTAGAAGCAGATGAGACAACTAAAAGATTTTTGGAACAACGCTATGGCAAGAGAGTGATTCAGAAAGCCCTGGAGGAGATGGAGAGTGAGAAATGGCTGGAGAAGAACTCCAAGTCTTGTCCTTGCTGTGGGACCCCCATCGAGGTGAGTGAGGAGGGAAAGGCTGGGGATCATGGAGCAGAAAACCCACAGGGAGGCAGTTCTAGGTGTGTTGGAGCCTCTAGGGAGAGGAAATCTCTAGGAAACATTAAGAGAACTTTCCATTTCTGTGTGACATGGAAAAGGAGGTGGGGTGATATTTGTGGATCCCAAGGACTGGAGTACAAACAGTGGCTGGTGGTCAGACTCCCACACTGAACAGATCCAGGCTGATTCTGGATCTACATGAATCCTTTTGTTTTCCTGGTGTTTCAGGCTACTTCTGCTTCACACTAGAGCCAGGAAATCAATCCAGCTTCAGAAGAACACTTATTTCTTGTATTTTTAGTATAATAACCAATTTGCAGTGCTGGGATCCCAGCTCCCAGTGGAAGTGTCAGAGTGTGGTGGGGCAGGGGGCTGTGCTCTCTGACTGCTGTGCTTGTGGGGGCTGCTGGCAGAGAGGGACTGAGGCCTGCCACAGTGGGGCTCTGTTAGCACCAGTTCTTGGTTTTTCCCCCAGAAACTGGATGGCTGTAACAAGATGACCTGCACAGGGTGCATGCAGTACTTCTGCTGGATCTGCCTGGGCTCCCTGTCCCGGGCCAACCCCTACCAGCACTTCAACGACCCCTCCTCGCCCTGCTTCAACAGGTGGGTGCTCAGGGACCCCTCCTCTGCTGGACACACATTGCTGCTTCTCCTTACAGCCTCTCCCATTTCTTACCTGAAATGTGTAGCTGCAGTTTAAGGCACAGTTTCTCCTCTCAGATATTGGCACTAAAGTAAAAATCAGGAGTGATTCGGGATATGGTTTTGCTTTTTAAAGAACTTTGGTTTTAAAATTCTGGAGGAGTCTTCTGAGCCTGTTCTGATTTTTTTTTGGTCAGGTCATGGCCTCACCCTTTCTGTGCTGAGTTTCCCTGGCAATGCTCAGGAGCAGCTCGAGGATTTGGGGAAGAGCTGCTCTAAGGAGCTGCAGATTTGCCTGACATTCCCTTGGGAAGAGCCAAGGGACAGAAGTGCTGCTGTGGGACAGGTGACAGGCAGGTGACAGCAGGGGGACAATGGCAGCCTCTCTTGCCCCTTCCACAGGGCATGGATGGTGGTTTGTGATACTGAAAAAACAAGGAAACTCGCTGTACTGTTGTTGCATTTAGGGTGGTACTTTTTTAACATATTTGACTTTTTTTATGCGCTGGTATCACTGATTTTCTGTCTTGCAGATTGTTTCAAGACATGCACATTGACAATGGGGAGTTCTGGGAAGGAGATGATGATCATTAGCTTCCTCCAGCACCAAAAGGTGAACAAACCAGAGACAGATGCTTTTTGTTTGCTTTTCACTTCCATTGTGTGACAGAAGAGTGGTAACTGCACTGCAGGACACACCTCAGAACCTATTGCCAAAACCAAAGGAGACCTTGTCCCCATCCTGGGATCAGGATCATCATGGAATGCCCAAACAAACATGTCCACTATTGAAGTCAGAAATTGGAAGACCATTGGAAAAATATATACCAAGAAGTGCCCCTTTTTTAAAAGCCAACAGACAAAACTGAAGCCTCAAATGCTGCAAGTATTTTGGGGGTTTCTTCTAGGGAGACTGACCCTTGGATCTTGAATATTGTGGGGTTTGGGGTGGTTTGCTGGAGCTATAGTGCTCTCTCTGGGGCTGCTTGGACTGGGGGAGTTTTCTGATACAATACAGAAAATTGCTCCTGTATTCAGCAACAAAGTTTGTTGCTTTTATGAATTTCCTGATGTGCTTCTCTGAAAAGCAGCTCCTGGCTGTGTCACTGGTACTTTGTAATGACATTAAAGCTGATTATACCCAACCCTTCTCATTGGCTGCTGTGCCTGAGCCTTTGCACCCCTGAGAGCTTGGGCAGAGAATGACCAACAGCCATTTCCAGGGGTTTCTGTGAGGTTGGTGGCTCCCTGTGTTGCTGCTGGATCCCTCACGTTGCCTGTCCTTGTTTTGGCAGGGATGAGTGCCAAGGCAGCGAGCTGAGCATGTGCCCAGTGAGAGGGTGAAAAGTATCAGGAAGAGATGAACTTGAATTCTTCAAGATACTGACAATTACCTTGTGTTCTCAGTTGATGAAGTAATTTATTTTTCATTTACTCTTCATATAAGAAATTTGATGGTTGATATTTTTGCTTCTGGACTAGATCCTTTATTTCCACTGGTTTTGCACTTCAAATTATCGCAGCACCAAATTGTTTCCCCTAAAATCTCAGCAAGTGGTTTTGAGAGTAGAAGGTGATTACTGGAGGCAAACACTGATTTTTTTACAAGTTTTTCCACTTGCAGAACAGTCTAAAAGTTTATTTGCAAACTAAAGCTGCCTGTGCTGTGTTCAAGTGCAGCAGGGCCTGGATGGAAAGCTCTGGAGCTGAGACTCCTCGGGAACTGTGTGTGATCACAGCTCACTCAGTTCTGACTGAATTAATGAATTTATCCTGGGATGTGTGGCTAAAATGAGTGGTGCTGCAGTTCCCTGTGCAGAGGAGGAGTCTGCACTCTTGGAACTGGCACAGGGATTAAAAGGATGGAAGGAAGAGCAAATCTCACCTCAGCTGAATCTCTAGGTCAGTGTGTAGGAAAAGTGTACATTGTGTATGGTTTGAGTTGTTTTCCTGCACCTTTCACATGCACTAAATTCACTTTAAGACGGTAAACACAGTGTCCCTCTTTGTCTTCCTTGTGGCATGGATTTGGCAGCACAGGTGTGCCCAGGTGCTCCTGGGGGTGGGACAGCCCAGAGCTCCCAGCTGGAGCTGGCAGGGATTCTGCTCATGGGATTTAGTGCATGCACAGTGCCCTCCCACCCCGAGGGCCCTGCTTCTCCCTCTGAGGAAACACTGGGCAAGGAAGGGGGGAGCAGCAGGAGCTCTCCCACCAAACTGCCTCCAGGAGAGCTTTGCTACCATGAGCACACTGAGACCGAGCACCAGACACACTCAAATGTCACCATTTAAAAAATTAGAGACATTTAGTGGAGAAAGTTACATTACAGATCAACTTACAAAACTTTGTATAAAGAAAATAAATGCTGCCCAGTTTTCTTGCCTCTCATGTGAGAGCACTGGACAGAAATCCCAGGAGTCACATTTCGGAATTGGTGGGGGCTGTTGTCCACCTGTGTGGGGTGTCTGTAATGAAACAGAGGCTGAAGCCAGTGGGAACAGAGTGTTTCCTTTGGGGCTGGTTTGGCTTCTCCTTAGAGAAACTGAAAATTCTGGAGAGAGCACCAGGCATAGCAAATCATCCCTGGGCCTGACACAGTGCCATCCTCAGGTGCACACAGTGCCATCCTGAGCTGCACCCTGGACCCCTTGTGGGGGATGCTGCTGGAGCCTCTTCTGCTGAGGGGTCTCAAGTCCAACATGTGGCCCAGAGCAGGGCTCAGCCAGGGCTTTATCCAGTCAGGTCTTGGCAGCCTCCCAAGGACGGAGCCATGGGGATGCTGTCCCACTGCTTGGCAGCTCCCGCAGTGGGGTTTTATCCTCTCCAGCGTGAGCATCTTGTCTCCACTCCCACCCCACTGTCCCTTCTCTTCTTCCCCCTGGCTCCATCTTCTTGCTGCCCTCTCCTGGCTGTGGCTGCTGCTCTGAGCTTTCCCTTCTCCAGCTGGACAATCCTCTTTTCCAGGATTCTAATGCAAGTGTTTCATGGAGGAGGAAGGAATAACAGAGATACCTGTCCTAATTGCAAGGAATACACCCCCCCAAAGCTATCACCCACTTGTTTCTGAAACATTGTACTTTCATTTATCCTCACATTTCAGTTCTGCAGCCTTCAGTCTGTGATTACAGCCAGTTCACAGATGAAACAATTCATTCTTCATTTCCTTCAGAGAATGAGTTGGTGGCAGAAGTTTGTGGAACACAGAACACTGGCTCCCATCCTCCTTTGGTTAATTAAGGCAGGTGTTTGGCATCTGTCTCTTTAATGGAGAGAAGGAACCACATGATCATTCTGCTAATTTAAGAACAAATATGAGATCAGTTTCTGCAGCAATTCCCTTTTGTCCCAGCTGTTTTCAGCAGCTGGTTCAGCACTGCCCCAGCACATTAATCACTGTATGGCTTCTTGGACTGGCTCCTCTCTGCTCCCATCTCCTTCATGCTGTACAAGGGCTCCACGAGCTTGTTGTGAACCATCATTAAACCTAATGGAGAGAATCAAAAGGCAATTTAAATAGACATAATAAAGGAAAGTTCTCCTTCATTGGGTGCTAATGGAATTAGACATTACTGTTGTCCTTGTGCCTTTGCTCCCACACCAAGCATTAAGCATTTACCTTCACACATACTACTGTGATATCATGAAGGAATATACTCCTTTGGGAGTTACTTATACAGCAACACCTCTGCAAAGCATGGCTTGTGGCTCCTAAAAGTGTAACAGAGCAGCTGCCTGGCCTGGTCAAACATTCACCTTTGAAGTACTTCACTGTTTTGACTTTGAGCTCCAGCGTGGCGTCCTCGTCGCACACGAACACGGTGTTGGGGTGCTGCTGGAAGGCCGACACCGTCCACATGTGGTTGACACCATCCTCGATGGCTTTGTACAGAGCAAAGGCTTTGTGGGCTCCCGTGATCAGGATCATCACCTGCACCCCCAGACAGAGAGGGGCAGTCAGGGAGAGCCCACCCACAGCCTGCCAAGCTGGGAGTGGCGACACCCCTGCCACCCTCCCCACAGCCACTTCTCTGTGCTGCTGCTGCTCCCACTGAAATCACGGCCTGCTGGGTCACTGCAGTGATCCTTTGGGCACCTGGACACTGAGATTTCACAAGTGTAGGTCAAGAATAGACTCCAGTAAAAGTGGTCCCACACAGTTTCATGACCTGCTGGTGTGACATTAAGTCTCCAGTTACTCTCCAGGTGAGACTCTTAACCAAAGACACCCTCCCAAACCTTCCTGGGCTGCTGCAGGGTTACACAAACACAAGTGCCAGCAGAGAAGGAGCAAGAGCCTCTCCACGGTGTTGCAGGGTGCCAGAGGACAGGAGCATCAGGCATTCTGTGGCAGGAATACCCTACACCAGAGGACACATGGCTGCTCCATAACAGGATCACCTTTGGCTGCTCCAGAGGAACTGCAGGAAGCCACTTCTTATTTCCTCACCTCTCTGGCATCCATGACAGTGCCTACTCCAACTGTCAGAGCCATGGTGGGCACTTTGGAGAGGTCACCATCAAAGAACCTGGCATTGGCCAGGATGGTGTCCATGGCCAAGGTCTTCACTCGTGTCCTGGACACCAGACTGGACCCCGGCTCGTTGAAGGCGATGTGACCGTCGGGGCCGATGCCTGGACAGGGACAGTGACAGCACAGGGTCAGCTGTGGCAGCAGAGCCAGCAGCTCTCCCAGACAGTGCTCCCAGGAACACAGAGCTGAGAAAAACCCCTGCAGTTCCTGTGCTCCAGCTCAGATCTGTGTCTGCTAGGAACAACCAGGCAATGCCCTGATTGCGCTGGGACAACAACAGACAAAGGAGGTGGCAGAACCTTATGGCAAACTGATGGGAAGAGCTTGTGTGGGAAAAGCTACTTCCAGCAGTTTCCTGTTGCCACTGACAATTGATAAATACCTCACATTTGTACAGTCCTAGCCCTTCCCACACTTCCTGAACAATTCACTGACTGCACTAAAGACCCGAAGCTGGCAGTGGTGGGTGGGGAGACAAGGCTGCCAGGACACTGCAGTGCCCAGGGCCATGGGCTGTGGGGTGGCTTTCACTGCAAATGCACTGAAAGTGAACAATCCTGGCAATAAATGAGAGCTGGGGAGGACAGGCACAGGTTTGGGACAGGGTTTAGAGGCTGCTGCTCCCCCATTCTCACCTCCAACAAAGAGCTCGATGCCTCCAGCTGCCTTGATTTTCTCCTCAAATGCATCACACTCTGCCTGGAGATCAGGGGCGTTCCCATCCAAGATGTGGACGTTTTCTGGTGAGATGTCAATGTGCTTGAAGAAGTTATTCCACATGAAGGAATGGTAACTTTCTGGGTGATCCCTCGGGAGACCTGGTAACAGAACACAGGACTGAGGCCAACTGGAACAGTATCACCCATAACAAAGTCCTTCCACAGCCTGCAGTGGCTTGGTGACAGAGCACTGCTCTCTCTGTCCTTTGTCACACCTTCAGCTTTCAGAGTTGTTTCTATTTCCCTAAATACCAGAATTAAAATCAGCTCCTGTAAGACACATGCCCATATTAATATACAATAGATGTTCAAAATGCAGGTGTGTGCTGTGCCTCATCTGTCAGTACCTTTTCAGCCCTTTTCCCATTTCATATTTATTTAAAAACTGTGCAGAAGCCTGGGAAATAATAATTATTATATAATTATTGCATATTTACCCATCTTGAATGCTGTAAACCCACACTGGACTGCTTATTCCCTAATGCTTCTTGACTGGAGTTATTCACAGAAAAAACCCCTCTTGACCAGGATAAAATTATCATTAGCAAATATTTAGCTTGTATGTTTTTCACCTTTGGATCTATTTCTTCTGAGCAGACTGTTTCACCATGACTTCAGCAATGGCAGTCCTTTGCTGTCTCAGCAGGAGATACCTGAGGGCACTCAGGGGACACGCTGGCCTTTGTAAGGGACCTTTATGACCCCCGAGCAAAGGTGGAAGGTAAAGCTGCATGCTGAGCCTGCAGTCATAAGCTGTTCTTGCCCGCTCAGTGCCTGAGGGCAGCTAACACACAGCAGTGTCTGTAATTGTGTGTGCAATACTGGGCAACACCAGCATCCAGTTTTGTCCATACAATTCCAAACCTATGGAAAAATTTCAAATTTCTTCCAGAGGTTTTCAAATTGTCCCCCTTCACTAATTCCCTGGAGGTGTTTAAGGAAAGAATGGATGTGGCACTCAGAGCCATGGTTCAGCTGACACCGTGGTGTGGGGTCACAGGCTGGACCCGATATCTCAGAGCTCTTTTCCATCCTAACTGATGCTGTAACTCTGTGAATGTTGATGCTGTAACTCTGTGAATGTTGTCCCCCTTACCTGCACAGGTGGATTTCGGGCACCGCCAGGCTCTGCCGGGGTAAGGGCCCAGCAGCTCCCTATGGGCAGGGACAAGGGCGACAGGACAGGTGGCTGCGGCACTCACCCACGTACTCGTCCATGTTGAAGGTCTTCACGTACTTGAAGGAGAGGTCCCCGTTGCGGTAGTACTCCACCAGCTTGCTGTAGCAGCCCAGGGGGGTGCTGCCTGCGGGGAGCGGCCGCCTCAGCCGGGGCAGGGCCCGCGCTGGGCCCCGGCCCGGCCGCCCCCCGGCACCCACCTGTGGGCAGCCCCAGCGTGAAGAAGCGCCCGGGGCCGGGCCCGAACTGCACGATGCGGTTGCGGATGTACTTGGCCGCCCACTCGCTGGCCTGCGAGTAATTCTCCAGGATGATGAGCTTCATGGTGAGGCCGCCCGGGACCGCCGCTGCCTCCGCCGGGGATCGCCGCCGTCTCCCGGATCACCGCCGCCGCCCGTGCGGATCAGCCGCGCCCGCAGCCTCCGCTTCCTCCCGGCTCGCCCTGCCCGGGATCACTTCCGCGGAGGGCGGGGAGCGCCGGGCCCGGCCCCCGGGAGGAACCGGGCAGGGCCGGAGCGGAGCGGCCGAACGGGGCGCACCGGGAGCTGCGGCTGCCGGGCGGTGCTCGGTGAGTGTCGCCGCCCTGCCTGCCGTCCAGGCAAAGCTGTGGGAGGCAATGCTTCCTCCAGATACGTTAAAACGACCGTAAATATCTTGGTGTGGTTATGCTGGAGTCACAGCATCACAGCAGGGATCCACCCGGCTCTGTCCTTCAGCTTTTCAGCCCTAGAGCGAAGCTCCCAGCCTTGTCCCACCAAAACGAGCTGTTCTCACACTTGAACTGTTCTGTAGGGACTCACTTTGGGGCAGGTTGGGGTCGTTCTGGGAGATGGAGAGACCATGATCTGCCTGTCCTTGCTCCTGGCACAGAGGTATCCCCAAAACACCTTCCTGCTGTTGCTCCGGAGTTCAAGTTCTCATGAAAATGCACCTGACCTCTCCTTGCACAGGCTTGGTTCATTGTTGGGATACAAAGCTCTTACTTCAAAGTTAAACCAACATTCAATTTCATCAGAAGGAAGAATGAGCTACAAATTGCTTTGCTGGGATCCAGCCCATGCAGTTACTTTTCATTTTAATAATTTAAATGCCCTGGCTAGAACCAGCGCTCCCGGTATTGTCTCATCCTGGAGAGCCCTTGGGTTGCCCGTGGTGATGATGGGTGTGGTGGGCTGTGGGCACACACGGGAAGAGTTTTAGGCCACAGAGACCAAATAAATTCCATGGGCAGATGTTTCCATAGCAGTGTGAGCCCACGGGCAGATCTCTCGGTGGCCGTGTGGGGTGAGGAGCTGGCAGCAGCGGCATTCCCGGCTCTCCCGCAGGGCAGGGCGGCCTGGGCTCTGGCTCGGAGGGACACAGCTCTTCGCTTGTGCCATCGGGGCCATTTCGGTGCGGCAGAGCCGTGGGTTCCCCGGGTTCTGGCAGCAGTCACGGCAGCGGAGGGTTCAGAGGCACAGGACCCAGGCTGATCGGGGGCTGTGAGGGGACGGGGACCCGGCTGAGGTCTGGACCCTTCCCATGCTGGAGCTGCTTCAGTCCTTATCCAGGATGTGCCGGCACCAAGGTGAGCGCACAGCTGCCCTGCACACACACCTGGGAGCTCCCACATCACCCCTGCTGTGGCACAACTGCGGATTCTGGTGTGCAAAGCCAAAGCTGCTGCAGGGCTGGGCAGGGAGAGAGCCCCGGCACCGCCGCTCCCCACAGAGCCCTCAGCGGCTGCTCGGTTACCCTGGAAACGCGGCCAGAGCTCGCAAATTTCGGAAAAGCAAATTCTGGAGGCACAGCCCGCATAGGAATTGATGGCAGGGACACCACGGCGGTGAGCTCTAGGGCACAGCCGGGGTGACCTGCAGGTTGTGGGCTTTGTCTGCCCTCAGAGCGGCCTGGGACAGCATCACCTCATCCCCTGCTCCACCTCACCTGCCCCGGCTCTCCTGGGACGAGTGGAGCGCTGCTGCCTTTGGTGCCGGCCTTGCAGCCCCCCAGCTGCTCACACAGCGCCCTTGTGGGGATGAGGCCCGTGAAATCCGAGTGTTGGAGGGCTCTGACTGCTCCGGTGTGGCTTTCACCTCCCCTGCCAGTGGCTTGGACAGCTGCAGTGCACAGAGATGCAGGACGAGCCGACAGCTCCCCGTAAAAGCCAAACATGTTTTGGTGAAAGCAAAAGCTCAGCGGAGCCGGGCAGGTGCCCCCGCGCTGCCCACACCCGGCACATCCTGTGGATCCTCAGCTCCTTCCACCCCGAGCTGCTCCGGGCTGGGCTGTGCGTGTGACTCGCAGGCTGGGTATTTTTAGGTATGATAATTTCTGCCCGTTATTGTTCCTGCATTTACAGCGAGCTGTTCCCATGCTGAAGAACTTCCTGGTGTCTGAACAGGCTGATTTTCCTTCCTTGCAAAAGCAGCAGATGGAAGGAAACAAACACTTCTCTTCAGGAGAAGCTGGAGTTTAATGGGGAGCTCTTAGAAACCCAGCATTTGCTTTTGCCCCACCTTGAAGGGATCAGAGTCAGCAGTGCTCAGAGACCAGGGCTTTTGCTATTGGGAGCTGCTTGGGAGCACTGGGATTCTTTTCCTGAAACAGCAACAATTAAAAAATTATCTCCATGAAGAATCCTCTCTCCAAATCCTGTAATTAAAGAGTCTTTTTAATATTCACCATCAGCCACCTCTTTCCTGCTCCAGCATGTTCCATTTACCTTCTGACCCCAATTTATAAGAAAAGGAGAAATAATAGATCTGGAGGGGAGCTGCTCTTTCCTGCAAGCCCCACTCACATCTCAGCTTTCCCAACAGCACCCAAATCTTAATTAGGATATTTCTGGGGTCACAACAAGCCCATGGGTAGGGCAATGCATGAACAGGCAGCTCTGGAGAACACCCATGCCAGTCCCTTTCCATTTTGCAGGTGATGTTGCCATGACAAAGCTGTCAGGACCTCATTCCTCACCAGGTTCAAAACTGCCAGCCTGAGCAGTAAGGGATTTAATCTGGATAGCAAGGTTAAATTAACTGTTGGTTAATTGTGATTTCTCCAGTGGGATGAAGAAACAACAGAGCAACAAAGGGCATTGGTGAAATCAGTGAGTGGGGCCCTGAAGTCAGGCTGGGCTGAGCTGGCTGCGCTGTGTGTAGGCAATTTGGAGCTCAGCTCTGCTTGCCCTGTGCACCATCCTGCACAACTCACTGCATCCTCCATATCTGCCCCGCAGTTCTGCTGCTGGGTTTCAGTGGAAGAGAGCTCCCATTGGGAAATTCTTCCAATTCAATGGCACTGTTGTTTCCATTCCTCCTCCTCACAATACTCGTGGCTTATGGGGCCATGGTTTTCCACACCGGTGAACAAGGCACTGCTCCCACCCGGCTGTGGGACGTGTGGCTGTGCTCGCTGGGGCTCTCCTCGTTCCAGCAGACCCCGTGTGACCCAGTGGCTTTTGTTGTTGTGACAAACACCAAAACTGCAGCTGCCTGCTGCCCAGAACCCCGAGGGAGCCCACACCTGCAGGACCTGCTGCTTCCGAGGCAGTGGGGCAGCTGCCCTGGGCAGGGGCTGTCGCAGAGCCACAGAACGGTTTGGGTGGGAAGGGACCTTAAGATTGTCCAGTTTCACCCCCTGCCACGAGCATTCCACCATCCCAGGTGGCTCCAAGCCCGATCCAACCCAGCCTTAGACACTTCCAGGGATGGGCCAGCCACAGTTTGGCTTTTTTGGGCAAAAAGATCAGAGATGATTCAGACACAAGATGATCGCAAGCACAAAAAGTCTTTGTGGCCAAGTGATATTTTGGGGAGGAGTATCTGTTAGACAGCATTTATTAATCCTTAACAAATCTCTCCAGCTTAATTATGTAATTCTAATTCAGGATGTTATTCCACAGTGGGAAATGACATCTATGGATACTCAAACCCTGTGATTCCAATTCTTGCACATGGAGTGTCTCTGCCTTCAGGGACACAGGAGTACTTTCGAATTGATGACAAAATGTTTCTGTCGTGTGAACATTTTGTGTTGGAGAATTTTGCTCAGACATGGCTTGAAGGAAAAAAGGCCATGAAAATATACAGCTGATTGAAAAGTAAAAGGCAGCTGTAAACAGCAAAGTTCTCAGACACGTTCCTGTAAACAGCAAAGTTCTCAGGTTTGTTTTTTAATAACAAGTAAATACCTTGTTCTTGGATAGTGATGGGAAAGCAGAGTGACAAACATGGAGGCCTTGAGAACAGTTAATAACAGGATGAGAAAAACAAGTTTTGGTCTCAATAAGAAACCACAGGTATTGAAAACAAGAGGAGGGGTTGGTGTGTAATCTGTAACCAATAATGAGCTCGGGTTTTGCAATATGTATGAACTTAATTAACACGATTATAAAAGTGTGCGTGCTGGATCAATAAATCGGAGTTCGATGCTGATCAATTAAGATGGGTCGGCTCCCTTCGCTCCTCAATTTTGATTTTTTTTTAATTGGGTAATTTAGCACTAAAAGGTTAGAAGAAAGATCTAGCTTTAATGTCCTGCTCAGTTCTTACCAGTTTAGCTTACATGCCCTGCTTTTGAGGTTTATTATTTAGCTTTTAGTGTTCAATATTTATTACAAAGTGCAGATTAAAAGTGCTCCCTTTATTGCTTAGTTGTACACAATAATTAAAGGAACACATGTAGAGCTCCAAGATTTCAGAGGACTCACTCCACTACTTGTCATACTTTCAATTGCTTTCAAATACTTTCACAGCACATCCCGTACGGAAGTCACTAAAATCAATGACTTCAAGCTTCAAGTGTCTCTTGGGAGAAAAGACATTTTGTACTGGGGAAAAAGACAAAAAACACAGAGGCATGAAGTGATTTGCCTCAAACCACTTGGGAAATGAAAGCAGAACCAGTCATGTGCTGTAACCACAGCATCATCTTTCTACTGAGCTTCCCCACCTTAGAAAATAAAAATAAATACAGGGAGAGAAGCTGGAAGGAATTGCCCTTACCCCTCCGGAGTCAGTCATGCTCAGACTAGGTGGACTAATTAGCCTGTGATTTGCCTCCACTGGCCCCAAAATGGCTTTGACACAAATGGTTTCACCATTTCTCCAGGATACGTTCCAGCATCTTCTCTGAGGACATGCACAGGTTGCATCTTATTTTAATCTCTGTGTTGTCCAAGTCAATCACTGTGCAGCTAATTACACTGCTGCTATAGCCTTACTTAGGGGTGTAATCCCACCTCAGCAGCGAGTAAATCCGTGCATGCCATCAGGACAGCTCCTCACTGCAGGGAAATTCTCACTGCAAATCGAGAGTCTTGTGGAAAGGTGAAACCAGAGTCTGTCAGTGCCTGCAGCTCTCGTTCCAGCTCCTTCAAAGGCATCTGTGTTGCAAGAACCCTGCCTCGTCCTTGTGTCTCCAGCATTTCTCAGGAGTCACTCTTTGAGGTTATTCATCGCTAAAATCCTTCACGGTTCCTGCCTCTCCTTCGGCACGAGAACTGGGATGTTCATTCATGTCACTAAGACATCGATGAACTCCCTACCCCTCAAAGGCAAAATACGGGGAGAAAAGCATCCAGGCTGATTATGGTAGGGAATAATGAGCACTGAGGCCTGTATTTATGACTGAGTGTGCAGTTCAAAACCATGTCCTCGGGCTTCAATGCTTGCAACTCTCTGAATTTGCAGTTTGGAATCCCAGCGGGGCTGATTCAGCCTTCCTCATCCTAAAGCTGATATATTTAAATCTCATCCACCTTAGGGATTGATGTGGGTAATTTTCTGCAAGCCTGACTAGAGCTGAACCGCGCATGTAGAAAACAAATGTTACACAAGCTGAGAAGTGTTTTGGCCAATGTAACACTGAAGAACTCAGAATAAACCAACTTGTCTCACTGCGTGGTTTCCTACACGTGCTCCTTTTGGAAGGAAGGAGCTCAACACCATCTGCTCCCTGTGGATATGAAAGAGCTGATGGCCAACACCTCGTGTTTGGTGCAGCTGCCCTGTTCCCTGCCCGTGTGGTGGGACAGGGATGGCTGGGGTGTGACCCAGGCTTGGTCAGCGTGGCTCACACAGGGCTGGTTCCTCCATGCTGGCTCTGGTGTGTCCCTGCTGAGGCAGCATGGCTTTACATCAATTTCCTGACTCCCTAGGTTTTACTAACACATCCCATGGCAGCTTCCACTCTGAAAATTATACTTGAGTTCACAATGTACATTATATGTAGTGCACGGAGTTTGTGGGGTCACTCCTGCAGCTGCAGGGGTGTCAGGGACACGCTGCTGGCAGTCAACATTCCCGCAGGCAGTGGCACACCACGCTGGCTCCAGGCTGGCTCGGGTCACCCTCCAGCCCCAGTGGAGCTGCCCTGGTTGGGAACCAGCCCAGCAGAGAAGGACCTGGGGGTGCTGCTTGACAGCAGCTGAACAGGAACCAGCGTGTGCCCAGGAGGGCAAGAGGCCAATGGTACCTGGGCTGTCTCAGCAATAGTGTGGCAGCAGGAGCAGGGCAGGGACTGTCCCCTGTGCTGGCACTGCTGAGGTGACACCGTGAGCGCTGTGTCCAGTTCTGGGCCCCTCATGGTGAGAGAGACATTGAGGGGCTGGAGCATGTCCAGAGAAGGGAATGGAGCTGGGAAAAGGGCTGGAGAATTCCTGAGGGAGCTGGGAAGGGGCTCAGCCTGGAGGAGGCTCAGGGGGGCCCTTGTGGCTCTGCACAGCTCCTGACAGGAGGGGACAGCCAGGTGGGCATCCAGGATGAGAGGGAACGGCCTCAGGCTGGGCCAGGGCAGGCTCAGGGTGGGCACAGCAGGAATTTCCCCATGGAAAGGGGGCTCAGGGCAGGCTCAGGGTGGGCACAGCAGGAATTTCCCCATGGAAAGGGGGCTCAGGCACTGGAACTGCCCAGGGAGGGTTGGAGCGCCCACTCTGGAGTGTCCCAGAAAGGGCTGGAGGTGGCACCAGGTGCTCCGGGCTGGGGACAGGGTGGGCATCGGGCACAGCCGGCACTCGCTGCTGTTGCGGCTCTCTCCCAGCCCCGGTGTGTCTGTGATTCCGCGGCCGTTCCAGGAGCGCGGCTCGCGGCCCGGGGCGGCTCCGGCGGCGGGCGGGGCGGGAGGCGGCGCGGCCGAGCGTGACGGGGAGGGCGGGAGCGAGCGGAGCCCGCAGCGAGCAGCGACCGGGCCGCCGCCGCCTCGGCCTGCGCAGCGCCCGCACCGACCCCGCAGCGCCATGGCGGCCGCGGCCGCCGAGCCCAGCACCGGCCGCTACCAGCAGGTGAGGGGCGGCGGGGCCGGGCCGGGCCGGGCGGCTCCCGGGGCAGCGGGGCCGGGAGCGGGGCCTGTGCTGGCGGCAGCGCCCGGGGCGGAGGCCGCGGGTCCCCGGGGGGTCAGGCCGGGCTCGGCCGCGGAGCCGCTCCCCGTCGGCCGGGGCTGGGTGTGCCCGCGGCCGGGGTTTGCCCAGTCCCGGGGCCGGTGTTTGCTCTGTCCTGGGGCCGGGTGTTTGCCCAGTGCCGGGGCCGGGTGTGTCCGGGGCCGGGGTTTGCCCAGTCCCGAAGCGACCTTGGCGCAGGGCGCCGACCCCGCCGCTCATTTCCCCCCACGGCAGCGACCCCCCCGCCGGGGAACGGTCTCGTTCCGCAGCGTCCCGAGGTCACCGTTAGTTTTCTTCCATCTTTTACGTGTGGACTCCCTCTAGGCCAGGGGCTGGCCTGACAGAGCTCCCTGGGGAATTCGGGTCGTTCTTTTCCTGCCTCCCGTTTGTCTGCAGTAGCCGCCCCACGGAAAGGGCCGGGTGTCGGCTGGGCCCCCCGGTGTGACCCAGTTCTGGCAGGCGCTTTTCCGACATCAGGCATGGAGAATTCTTTACTTAGAGTAATGGAGAAACCCCTCAAAACGGCAGACAGCTCGCTCCTGCTGAACCCAGGCTCTCCCAAGGAATCGCTGTGTTGTGACTTTTCCTGGGTAGCATTCCCGGCGTGGGTAGGCTCCTGCTCGGCTGAGTTCGAGATACACCCTCCCATGGGATGGAGTACTTGTCTCGTCTGACAGCTGCAGGTCTCCCTGTTTTTACATACTGGAAATGGAGAAGTTAAGCAAAACTTGGGCTTTTTTTCCTTTTGTTCAGTGCTAAACTGATGTGTTCACTTACAATGACAAATCTCTTTGTGTTGTTCTGGGACCTGCTAGGGACCGATAACCAGGTCTCTGTACTAATCGCCTTTCCTGGCAGAGTCCTGCTGGTGGTGTTGACCCCAACAAGTGTCTTCACAAATGTCTTTTCCCCAGGGATGCGCAGCGTGTGCCATCACCCAGAGCAGTGGGGATGGGTGGCACAATCCTGAAGGACCCCGCTGCCCGCTGTGGTGTTTCCTGGCTGACGCACACACTCCTGGTTTCCCCCGGAGGGGTGTGTAAAGCTGTGGTGTGCCTGCTCAGTGCTGTGTCTGCTCACACCTCGGGCAGAGCCAGGGCAGACTCATCTCGGAGCCCTGCAGAGATTAGGGAGCCAGGCTGTGCCAGAGGATTTGCACTGCTAAAGACAAGCACATAATGGAGGCCTGTGGAGCCACTGGTTTAACTGGAGTGAGAGGCAGATTCTCACATGTAAATGTATTTACTTTTGTGCAGCTGTTTAGAAATTGCTCCTCTTTCCTTGCCCTCTGCCAGAACCCCGGTGTTCCCATTGTGAAGTGTGTTGTCACTGAACTGGCTCCTAATGCTTGTGTTGCTTCAAAACCCTGCAAGCTTTTTGAAGTGGAGATGCACTCGGGATTTAGATAGAGAGAATGAGAGAGTGGGAGAGTCTCTGTAGCATTGAATGTGTCAATTTCCCCCCCATATTTTGAAACTTATTGTGTGTGGGAATGTACAATAATGAATGTACCATGTGCCAAGAGAGACTGCTAGTGAAGTGATAACTGCAAGGGCTAGAGTGAATACAGGACCCAGTCAGTGGAGAAATTCACAACAAGCTCATTTAATCCTTTAAGTTATTGGATTATGAGTCAGTGGAGGAATTTTTAAAGCTTGATCTTTTTGGTTATGGGGTAATGCATTAATGGATTTGGTTATGCAGGTAGGTGGTTCCTGTACTGGTAAATGTGGATTGACTGTCCAAGCGTGCCAGGGACGTAACCCTCACTCTGGGATGGGTTCCTGATGTATCCATGTGTATGTGGGAGCAGCTCTGAGATGTGGGCACTGTGGAACCTGTACAATATTTGTAGGATTCCTCAAGTGTCTGTATTTTCAGGGAAAAAAGGTGAGGGTTAGTGACCATGATCTGAGCACAACAGAACTCGCTACCCCAGTTTGAGACCTGTGCGTTTCCTCTCCTCGCCCAGCCCTTCTCAGCCTTGCAGGTGGGATGTGGGAAGGTGGGGATGTGGGCTGTGCTCCATCAGCAGCCTCTTTGTTCCCTGCAGGCTCCCAGCCCGTGTCTGTTCCCCACCGTGGGCACTGTGCAAGGGGCGTGCGCTGATTGATTTTCCAATGCCAACTTCCTTTGTTCAGGAAGGAGACAATCTGATAAAAAGTAGCTTGCAGTGGTGCCTCTGGGCACTGTGAGTCTGAGCTCAGTACTGAGGAGGTGCAGCTCCATGTAGGATAAAACTGAAGCTCTGGAGAAGGGATTTCAGCCTCCCCAGCCCTTCATGGGCAGCAGGACTGGGACTGCTGGATTTGGATCCTCCTCTGCAGGCCAGGTGCTGGCGCTGTGCTTGTGGAGGTGGGAATGGAGAGGTTTGGGAAGAAGGAGAGAGAGCTGCAGCCCGCCCTGGTGCTGTTATTCCGGGCACTGCTGTGTCCCCAAAAGGGGACACTGAGAGGCTGTTGTCATTTCAATCTGCCTTTGGGAAAGTTATACAGGGATGTTGTTGGGATTAGTGGGCTTAAAGCCTTCCCAGCATAACCCTGGCTTGAGAGTTCAGTTGGCAGAACTGTATTTCATCCTTGGGATAGAAATTACCCTCCGTTCTGGAAAAAATAGCCCAGATTTAACAGGTTTATTTACACTCTGTGTTTTCCAGGCATGCTTTGCACTTGGAGCATTCGAAAATACATGTGAGGTGTATGAGTAATGTAAACCCACCTAGGAAATGGTGGGAGTGTTAAATAATGAAGATGTATTCCTTTTTAAGTGCTGTGTCTTCCTGTTCCACTTGTTGAAGGTTTACATGGATCATGAATCATTCCATGAAGGGAGGTGTCAATGGGAAAAATAACCAAGAAAGATTTTTCCATTTGTTTGTTTTTTGTTCTGTGAAAACTGTAGAAGAAATACGTTGCTGGAAATAGAATGGGAATAGAGTTTAAATCCATGAAGGACAACAATGCTTCTTTAATATCTGGGGAGGCTGGAGTGGAACAGGAAGGCAGATATCAGTTGCTGCCTTGTGTGTACCTTGAGCTTGTGTTTAATTTTGCAGCTGAAATGGGCACACAGCTTGAAACTAAAAAATGAGAACATCCCAAATCTTTTCATGTCAGCAGTTAGAATCAGAAATGTCAGTGACTGTTTCCTCAGTGAAGTCCTTGCAGTGTGCAGGATGTGCTGGCTAAAGATAAGAATGCTAAGAAAAGTTGCAGGGTAGGTTGTTTGCATATTTATTTATATATTTTATTTGTTAGCAGAATAGGAGATGCCACTGACATAAACCCAGTAAAATTAGAAAAACTGCAGAGTAAAATTGTGCAGCCTCTGCTCCGAGGTTGTGCTGAAGCTGCCCCGTGTCCAGCCTTGGCTGTGCTGAGGTGGCTAAAATCTGATTATTTTCCTCTGAAACATCCACCTCTGCAGGCAGCAGTACCTGTCAGGTAGCTTTGCAAGGGCTTAGTGATTCTGTGTGCAAAAGTTTTTATAGAATTTAAATACATTCTGTCCCTAAAAATCAAAGGATGTGGGAAAGGCAGGGAAACAGCAGCAGTCCAGTGTCATCTCACAGCTTGTGTAGCAGGAGAAAATAGCTTTGCATGCAAACTTTGAAATACAATATTATCTCAGGCATCAGGATGGTGTGGAGCTCTGAGTTGGGCTTTTTTAGCACCTTCTCTCTCATGACTAAAATTGAATGGGGCTCAGTAGCCCCATTGGGAAGCAGCTGTAGGAACAGCCCCTGAGGGCTTTGGGTTGTTCAGTGCTCCCAGGAGATGAGCAACCTTCTTCTGTGGGTTTGGCATCATGACTTAGAAGTGACCATACAGAATGCAAGGATCAAAAGTTCTGTATGTGTGTGAATTCTGATCCTTTGTCATGGGGACAAATGAGCAGAATTCAATATTAAGGACTATCCAATCATTCTGCTCCTGCCTGTTGTGAGATATCCAAATTTGATCTATGGTGGCACAATGGGATTTTTTTCCCATGGAAGATACTTAACCTTCTTCATATGACCCTTTAAAAAACATGATATTTTAAAATGTTTAGAAGTCTAACCAAAATACCCTAATGTCCAGAAAAATATTAATCTGATTCTAAATATTATGAGAAGGCTTTATGCTTTAAGTGTGGGAAATTTAATTACAACTATCCAAGATTAAAACCTAATTTTTCCTTATTAAGACCTTGATCTCTCAAGTCTGAGGCCAGTGTGTGGCACAGGTTTGTGCTGGCCCAAATGTTTCCAGTCTGTCCAGACCAGTCTAACTCCCTGTTTGAACAGAAATGAGGGAATTAGACCAGCTTGTTTCCCAGGATTGAGGAGCGTTTCTGTGGTGTCAGGCCCTTGGCTGCAGTGAGTCAGAGGACAGCACCCTCATGAGCCCAGGTTGTATTTTATGGACATAAAATAGGTTTTGGTTTGTGTTTTTGCCTTTTGGTGGCTCACAGGGTCATTGCCATCACCCCCTGAGGTGGATGCTGCTGCTGGCTCCTGCTCTGTGTGTGCCCTCTGCGTGCCAGGGAGCTCCAGGTGCCTTTGGGGAGGGGGCACAGTTCTCAGTCCTTGTTAAAAGGGAGGAGTCTCACAATCTCAAAGTCACTGTTTGGAGAAACCGAGTCCCAGCTGTGCCCCATCCCCAGCCTGTCCCCAGCCCAGAGCCCTCAGTGCCACCTCCAGGTGCCACCTGCAGGGATGGGCACTCCAGTCCCCCTGGGCAGCCCCTTTCCATGGGGAAATTCTGGGTTTGGCACGGGCAGGAGCTCACTCCTGGGGCTGGGCTGTGCCCAGGGCTGGGGCTGGGGCAGGAGCATCTCCCCAGGGAGGGCTGGCTTGGCACAGGTGCCACATGTGCCACCTGAGAGGCGCTCAGCACACCTGTGCCAGCACAGGGGCTGGGCCAGACACCCAGGGCTGTCCCTGCTCCAGGGAATGGGCTGGGAGAGCCTGCAGGAGAAAACAGTTATTTGCTCATCAGGGAGAGGGCTGAAGGGAGTGGGCTGGCTTGTCTGCTAGCTTATCATTATTCCTGCTGATTAATAAGCTGATGTTAAGTTGCAGAAATTTGCAACAACATTGAGCAAAAGGCAGGATTTTAAATCAGGGTGTGTTTAATTAAGTGAAGCAAAAGTCAGTAAAAATAACTCCTTTTCAGAGTTGGCAGTGACTTTAATTTACTTCCAAAAGGCTGAAGATATGTAATGATATGTGATCTATTGCTAAGGCTAAGCTTGTAGTAATGCTGGTTTAGTGTAGTGATGCTCATTTGGTGTAAAGAATATTTGCATGCAGCCTCAGAACTTGGCAAAGGGGAAAAAAAAAGGAAAAAAAAATAAAGATTCAAAACTATGTGAGCAGCCCATATGCTGAGTTTAGGAAATTTGGAAGAATGAACCAATATATTTATTGGAAATGCTTTTTTTCCCAAGTTTACATGGAAACATTTCCAAACAGCTTGGAAGATTTCAACTTTATGTTGCTGTGCTATGTATTTACATGGGACAGGTCTCAGTTAGGGCAAGTGGCAACCAGAGGTGATGTCCTGCTCAGCGCCAGGTTTCTGATGATGGGTCTTCTGGAAAATAGTTATCCCTGGGTGTTCTGTCAGTTAACTTTCTGTTGGTTTAGCAGTCTGGTGAAAAAATCCCAGCCAAGCTGTTGTTTCAATAACTACATGCATGGCTGTAAAGACTGCCTTATTTCTTTGTGCCACGAATACCAGAACCTTGCCTGAAAAGCTGAAATCCATCAGTGAATCTAGGAAGGAATTATCCCAGAGCCTCAGCAGAGCAGACTGAAGTCAGAGCCTGGTTTTCAGCAGGCTCCCTGGGTTCTGGGGCCTCGGGGGAATTCTCTGGGAGTCCGTACCTGGAGCTGTGCAGGGCAGGTGGAGCCGGGGCCAGGCCAGGCCTGATGAGTCATTCCTCCTGTCACATGAACCCTCCCTGCTCTGCTAATAGGCACTTAGTTGAATTTTAGATGCCTGGAATCATTAAAAAGGCTGGAAGGCATTTGTGTACCTTGTCCATTAGAAGAAAAATATGTTTTCTATAACTGTAACCTCCTACAGCCTCGAGCCCAACTTCAGAAAGTAGCTGCATTTTTTGTGTCATTATCCATTACCTGAATTGGGGTGTTGGAAGGCAGCAGTGAATTCAGCTGCTTTCTCCCACGTGACACTGCTGGAAGAACATGTATTTCTTTTTACTGTTGAAAGAAGAACCAGTGGTAGGAGTTAATATTCCACTCAATATCTGTGTCCTCTTTTGTTTCATTTCTTCCAGTGTTGTCACATGTGGTGCTTTCCTTCCCCCTGCCTGGTGACTGTGCTCTCAGGCTGTACCTGCCTCCTTTCTTACAGGCAGGAGGGCTTGAATTTCTGCCACCCCCTCACCTGGAGAGCAGGTAACAAAGGGCAGGTGGAATCCAGAGTGTCCCAGCTGTGACAGAGCCTTTCCTCCTGTCAATACACCAGGTCCTGCACCGGCAGAGGGAGAAAAGAAGTGCTGAGTTTTCATATTTTCATGGATAGACTGACAATAAGCATGGTGGAGCATTTTCTGAGAATTCATAAACTACAGAGCTGGGGAAATCATGGATTCACAGAATGGTTTGGGTTGGGATGACTTTAAAGATCATATTTTTAATATTTTTTTACCCCTGCCCTGTCTATGGATCCAGGGGCAGCCTCTCTGGGCAGAGGTTGAATCAAGCAGTTTGGCTCTGTGTTTTCCTGTCCCATCCATTGCCCCTCATGCTCTGTGCAGGGTGGTTTGGGATTTCTGGAGTAATGCTGTGTTTTTCTAAAAAATTAAAGCATATTCTAATAGGCAATTGCTTCTCAAGTTAGTTTGCATTTACTTCTAATGCTGAGCTCTGTGGGGTTTATGAAATGTTTGTTTCTTGGAAAGGCTTTGGGAAGACAAAGGTGCCTCGCTGTGCTGGGAGTTGCTGCAGCTCCTCCTGTCCCTGCTCTGTGCCCTGGGGCTCAGTAAAGCCCAGGTGAGGCAGGTCCTGCCACCTCACACCCTGGGGCTGTTTGCTGTGCCTCACATCTGGGCTGTGTCCTGCTGACAGCTGTGCTGGGAGCTGCTCCCTGGAACAAGGATTAAATCTTCATCCGGATCAGTGATTCCTCCTTCTTCAAGGAAATGGTTCAGCGTTGTCATGTGAGGACTCTTTATCCACAAAGCTTGGGGCTCACCCAAGCACCCTTTTCTTCTTCCCCACCTCTTCTGTTTAGAAAATGTTCCTGGGGAGCAGAGTGAGCTTCAGGCTGACATGGAACTGGAGTGCATGGCTGTGGTGCTCTGCTATTCTGCTGCACCTGGACTGGCAGACAGTGCTCCTGATTTTGTTCTGGTGCTTTCCAGTGTAATTTCCTCCCTTTTCCCCCTCTCAGGTGACCCCTTGGACCTGCCAGCAGAACCACTCATTGTCATTTGCTAAGCACAGTCAAGGCTTTCACAGAGGGTGTGGATGTTGTGTGATCTGGAGCAGAATATAGGTTACAGACTTCCACTGGCACAGAGCAGCTCTGGCTGCCCCTGGATCCCTGGCAGTGCCCAAGGCCAGGTTGGGCACTGGGGCTCGGAGCAGCCTGGGATCATGGAAGGTGTTCCTGCCATGGCAGGGGGTGGAGTGAGATGGGCTTTAAGGGATGGCCCAACCCAAACCATTCTGTGATCTGTGATGTTAAGCAGCAAAAGGAATAAAACTCCAAAGCACAGAACACTTGGATATCCAAGATCTGCATTTAGAAGTGGGAGCTGATTTATTTTCCCCTGATACAAATAAGATAAGAACATCCCCTACGCCCCCACCCCTGTGTTAAATGCTGAAGGACAATGGCAGCCCATCTCTCCAAAGAAAAGAAAGCAAAATATCCCAAATGGCTTCAGGAGCAAATGTGTGGGGTTGCAGGAGGGAGAGCTGGAGGAGACATTGTTTAGTGGTGATCTCAAACCAGGGCAGTGCCTCCTGCTCAGCCCAGTGCTTCAGTCTGGAGGTGCTTGTTTGAGGTGAGTTATTCTGCAGCAAACCTCAGTGCCTTTGCTGCTGAGGTGATGAGAAATGGAAGGAAGGGAAACATGAGATGGCAGCTGTAACCTCCTTTCTGGCCTGGTGCTGCTGCTTCCCTGATCAAAGCTGCCACGGCACACCTGCCTCGTGCGGGTGATGCTGGAGCTGTGATAGCTCCTGGTTATTTATACAGAGCCTGTGGGAAGCACAGTGCACAAAATAAACCAGCTCCTTTTCAGTCATGCAGTGTGAAAGGTTGAAGGGAAATGGCAACATTTGTACTTTTGTGCATCATTATGTAATGTATCCATGGAAAAAACCCTTCCTTAGCAAAGCCACAGGCAGCAATGGAGCCTTTTGTTGGGTATCTCACTGTATTTCTTTGACTAAAACAGATGCAACTGCAGCCTCTAAGCAATGTGAGCTGAGGAAGCACCAGGGGAATGGAAAGGTAATGGAAAGCTGTGTGCTGTGCTTTGCTGGAGTCCAGGTGTGTGAGGAGAGGATTAAAAAACAACATTAAAACTGAGATGGAAGATTGATCATTTCAAGTGGGAACGCTTCAAAGGGAGGCTGAGCAGCTGCTCCGTGTCCCGTGGTGCTTCCAGAAGAGTCTGTGGTGTGCAGTTAAAGCTGCAGGGGTGGTGTCAGAGCCCTGAGACCCCCCTGAGCCCTGGTGTGTGGTTCTGTTCAGCTGCAGAATGAAGAGGAGCCGGGCGAGGCCGTGCCGGTGGTGAACGACGCCCCTCCGCCCTACAGCAGCATTTCTGCAGACAGCACAGGTACTGTCACCTGGGGAAGGGCTGGCATTGACTGCTCTCCTCATCCACAGCTGCCTCTGCAGCACCTTCCTGAGCTGCAAGGGCCAGGATTGATCCACACAGCCTGTGGCTTCTTGTGGTTTAGGAGATGCAATTTGGCTGCACTCGTCTGATGTCATCCCATCAAGGGGTGTTCAAGTTACGGTTCACAGTGTTCTCAGTAAATTGGAGACAGTTAAAAATCAAAGTGCTGGGAGGATTTGTGGTTCCCCTCTCATTATCTGGCATTTGGATGATGCTGTGCCCCTTCCTTAAAGGATTCGTTACTTAAAAGGGTTTAAAGAATTCACTTTCCCTGCACTTTCCAATAACTAAGCACTTGGATGGGCCTTTGACTCATCCTCCTGTCCTGTCACTAATAACTTTAATAACCACTTGGATCTGGAAACGTGACTATTTCTGAGTATCCAAGTCAGCAGAGGCACAGCGTGTGGTGTTGTTTTAAACAGAAGTACAGCCAGGCATGTTCAGTGATGTTCTCTGGGTTGCTGGCGCTCCTGTGCTTTTCCCTCTCTGCTTTGGGATGGCAGGGGGCTGGGCTGGGTGGGAGGTGGGGAATGGGGCTCACTGGAAGTCGCTGGAGCACTGCTGGTTCCCAGCAGGGTGTTCCTGAGGAAGTGCTGAGCGCTCTCTGTGTTTTTTGCAGCTTACTTTGACTACAAGGATGAGTCAGGGTTCCCGAAGCCGCCGTCCTACAACGTGGCCACCACTCTGCCCAGCTACGACGAGGCCGAGAGGAGCAAGGCTGAGGCCACCATTCCCCTGGTTCCTGGCAGGGTGAGTGGCCCTGTCCCTGTCCCTGTCCCTGCCCTGCTGGCTGCCAGTTCAGCTTTAGCTCCTGCCTGTCGTGTGTCATGACTCTAAAAATTTGTGGTTTTGAAGCTTTCTGGGGTGGTGATATTCCACACTTCTGAGAGTCCTGTGGCTATTTTTTTAAATTTTTTTTCATTTTCCTTTGAGCACTGTGATGATGTCAGACATCTCAGTAATGCCAGCATGTGCTAGCCAGATTAGCTTGGCAAGCTGACAGAGGGACTGTGCTGTATCCCTGTGCTCTGACACTGGGGTTTTTGTTGGTTTTTTCATTTTTAAAAAAAGATTTAGGATTAATTCTTCAGCTGTCTGGCATATCTACCCTTGATATTCCTGCTGCTTACTTAGTTGACTTTTCTGGACGTCAGTGTAGCTGATACAAGGACGATAAAACCGTTCTGTCAGAATTATTTCTTTTTGTTTTTTTCAACATTATCTCTTGTTCAGCCATTCTTTCCACCCCTGCTAGCATTAGAAGTCCCCTGCTCATTCCACTTCTTCACAGAAGCCAAATTCCTTGCTGAGATGATAATTTTTTGATGAGTTGAAGAATTCTTCACAATGAGAACAAGAACATGCTGGATCTTGGCTGTGTTAAAAATAAAGATACATTTCCTATTATATAGATAACGTTTCATGCCCTGCACCATTTCAGGATGAGAAACAGGAATTTTCTCGTGCCTGCATTTGTAGCCTTTTGATATTTAGGATTCCAGCCCTTTTTTTGAAGAGTCACACCCAGAAGTGGGGTTGCTGTGTGGACTGGACTGACCTAAATCCCCCATGTGCTGCCTCCCTCTGCATTGCAGGATGATGACTTTGTGACACGGGATGACTTTGATGACACTGACCAGCTGAGGATAGGAAATGATGGCATTTTCATGCTGACTTTCTTCAGTAAGTACCTGATGGAATGAACTTTTCTTCAAGCAGTGACCCAGAATAGTTTGGGTCACATTTATGTTTATGTAGCACCAGGAAAAACCTGAGTGCAAGGGGTGTATGGTTTTTTCCCTTGGTATATAATGGTGTCTTGACCTGCTGCTTTTCTCCTGCTTTCTCAGTGGCATTCCTCTTCAACTGGATTGGATTTTTCCTGTCTTTCTGTCTGACTACTTCAGCTGCAGGACGATATGGGGCCATTTCTGGCTTTGGTCTGTCTCTTATTAAGTGGATCCTTATTGTCAGGGTGAGTTGTGTGGTGCAAAACCACGTACACAGACACTGATATTCTTTTTTCCCAGCAGGTTTTTATCTCATACTGAAGTTAGTGATAAATTTAGGGGATTTTTTAAATAATAAAATAATTTTTGAGCTACTAACTAAGAACAGAGCTTTTTCATAATTGTGTCCTGTTTATATGCTGAATTACAACTGTAGTAAAATAAAAGAAAGGTTGCACACCCAGATAGGCTTTGGGGATGCTCCATCCCTGGAAGTGTCCAGGTTGAAGCTGTACAGGCATTCCTGGGAGAGTGGAAGGTGTCCCTGTCTGTGGCATAAGACAGGAGCTGTAGGATCCTTCCCAGCCCAACCCCTGTGGGATTCTGGCGTTCATTCTGTGTCTGACAGAGGCACTGACCTGATCAGAGTGTGGTTTGTGCTGAGCAGCAGCAGTGCTCTGATCCTGGGAAAACATGAACCCAGGCAAAGCCAGCCCTGCCTTCAGCCTCTGCTGTGCCCTGGCTCTCCTCTGGAAAGAAGGAAATTCTCTAAAATGCAGGATGGCTGCTGAGGAGAGGGAAACGGGGCTGTGGGAGGAGTGAGGGTTGGAGCAGCGCTGGAGAAGGCCGTGGGTGCCCTCTGGTGCAGCCTCCCTGCGGCACAGCAGCAGGACCAGGAGCAGCTGCCATCCTGCTCCAGGGTTTTTGGCTCTTATATTTTTCTGAGGGATTGGGAGAGAAAATACTTCCATCAGGAAATCTTTATTTGGATCCTGTGAAATGATGGCATTCCAGGCTGAAAGTTGAATTTCAAGCAAGCAGCTCACTAGCTGTAAGTAGAATTAGAGAGCATTCATGTCAGAGCTGTCACTTCCTACCCTGTCTTTTGGGCCTGGGAATTCTCATTTGTAAATGCAGCTTCTCTTCACTTTTCTGACAGTTTTTGTGGTCATCTTGGTTCAGAGGTGTTAAGGACTGTTTGCTGGGTTAAGAGGTGTGACAGAAGGAGGTGACATTATTTGTGGATTTGATTTAAACATCAGTAACAAGTTTATCTTTTGTTAGCTTTTAAGTTTCAATAGAACAAACCCAGAGGAATTATAATGTATTTATACTGAACCTGTGAACCTCAGTGCTCTCGTAGTGTTGGTGCCTTTCATTTAATAGCAGTAATTTTCCCAACTGGGAATCTTGTCAGTGGGCTCCACAGATGTGGGATTTCTTTCCCAGCTGTTCCACCATCCATCCTGACAGTAATGAATGTGCTGCACTGCTGCAAGCCTGCTCTGCCCTTTCAGATCCTGCAGCTGTGCTTTATAGGCAGCCAGGACATGATTTAAAACAGGCGTATTTGCCCAGCAGTGTCCTTGTGCCCCTCTGATTGGCAGAATTCATAGCTGGGTGTTGAATCTGTCCCATTCCCCTTGTTGGAGCTGGTGCAGAAAAACTATAAATAACAGTTTGTGGAGGTAACTCATTGCTGCAGCTGGTGAAATGCAGCATCCCATGAGATCTCTTATGTGCAGCCCTGTCTGGTTACTGCTAAAATTGGTGGGGATAGATTTTGGTTCACAAACTTCCATGTGCTCTAAACTGTAATTTTTTGCTATTTTTCAGTTCTCCACCTATTTTCCTGGTTACTTTGATGGCCAGTACTGGCTTTGGTGGGTCTTCCTTGTACTAGGTGAGTGGCTGTGGGGGGAAAGATGCTTAACAACTGTGAAGTCAGGTAGGATTTTGTGGGCATCCCTGGCTGTTAAATATGTGTGTGTGGCTGTCCAGATGAAATGTGACCCTCATACTCTGACTGAGCACATTCAGGTTTTAAAGGCACATGTAAAAACTGTCCTGCCAGTTCTTGGTGGCAGCATCCTGACATCATCCAGAAGTTATGAAGAGAATAATGCTTGTAACTGATGTTGTGTCTGCTCTTGCATCTTAAATAGAGGAGTGGATTGTTCCCTCCCTCATCTTATTTTCTTTTTCCTGCTTTGGGAGTGACTGGATCATGTTTTGATTCAAAAGTTCTGTGATTGCCCAAGGAAAGTTTGTTTTTGAAGTGACCTGAAATGGAGAGATGAGGTGTTATTGCTACCAAAAATAATTGCAGTGTGTGATCAGCTGCTGTGCATCCCAGTGGTGAGGTCCCTCTGTAGTGCTGGCAGGGAGTTCAGCTGCTCCCTCTCCTTGAAGAGGCAACACCTGTGGTAACTGGACAAATGTGTCTCTCCCCTGCAGGTTTTCTGCTGTTTCTCAGAGGATTTATTAATTATGCAAAGGTTAGGAAGATGCCAGATACGTTTTCCACTCTTCCCAGAACCAGAGTTCTCTTTATTTACTAAAGGTAAATTTTCTGCTTTCCTGAATTTGTTCTGCTTTGACTTTAACTCTATTTAGTGACTTTTCTAGGCTACACTTTCCATTGCTTGAATATTTTTAGAACTCAAAAGAAGCAGGGAACAGTTGTTTCTTGGTACCCCCTACCCAGCTCCTGAGTCTGCAGAGCCCAGACTGACCTGATGGGAGGCAGAACAACACTGGACATTTGTCCCCGAGTTTTTGCTGTGAGGAATTGGATATTCCTTTGCTTCCCTGACTAGATACTGTGAGAACAGAACCCCTGCCCCTTGGTGCTGCCCAGTGTTTGGCAAATGTGTCTTTGAGAATAAATCACACGCCTGAAACACGTGGTGTGTCCCAACCCCGAGGAGAGGTCACAAAACGTTGTTAGAGGGGCGTGCCAGTGCCTTTGGCTTTTGTCCCAGAACGAGCAATTTGTCTGAATTCTGCTGTTTGAAATTGCTGCCAGGCTCCTGAAGGAATGACAGCCTTGCACACCTTTGCTCTCCTCAGACCCTCCCACACACCTGAGCTGCCCTCCCTGAGCATCCTGCAGAAGCCTGAGTGCCTGGGAGTGTTGTGCTCAGTGCAGAACCTCAGGCTGGCTGCCTTAATGGGGCTTTAAAGGAGGAGGCTTAAGTAGCTGGAGCCTTGTAGCATAATTTCCTGCTCACAGCAGATAATGGCCTGGCATTAACTGTCCCTCCCCGAGGGGAAGGAAATCCTGGAATAGGTTGCTTCCCAGCTGGGGAATGCAACACGATGCTCCCTTTAGAAATATCATAATAACGCTCCATTTCCCCAGAGAGGCAATTGCAGCTGGGACAGTCAAAGAAACCAAACCAGCCCCAGCTTTAAACTGGGGGCCATTAAATTGTTGAGATTTGAAAACCGAGCCTTGGGTTTCCAAATGTGCTTCCCTTTTATTAGAAACTGCAAATTGCCCACGATTCTGCTTCGTTTCCAGGCTGTGAGGGGAACCTGCAGCACAGAACAGCCTTTGTGCGGTGCTTTCCTCTGGTGATAGTGTGTAAAAATAGTTCAGCCAATTTCTTTATGTGTTTCAGTTCTGTTTAACAAAGTTCTGGTTTGTGACCTCCTCCAGGATCTGTAATGTCCTCCCAGATTCCTGCTGAGTCACCAGAGCCTTCATTTCCCCCAGTTTATGGTCACAGAATGTGAGCATTTAAAGTCAGCTTTATCTCTGCATTTTGTCTGACTGAACAATTTTTTCAAAAATTTTGCTCCTTTACCAAAACTTTATTTTTTATTTCCTAAAGAAGCTCTGTGTTTTCCTTTTGCATAGACTTTTCCTATGTTTGAAATTTGAAATTACATTTTTGGAGACCTGGCTTCACTCCTTGCTTGTGGAGCTGTAGAGTGTTTAAATTCTTATTTATGTGGCATTTTAGAGCATTTTAAAAAAAGCACTTTCATATATGCTGAGATCAATGTCCAGAATAATTCATAAATATTTCAACCGTGATACTTCCCCTGAAAATAAATCTTTAATCCTTAATTCTGAGTGAAGAAACCACAAAAGACTTGGATTTTTAGTGTATTATTGTCCTTAGCTGAGATTTCCTTTTCAGGGCATGATGCAAAGGGCACAGTGAGGGATTGTTGTTATTTCAGATCAGGGATAATTTTTAGAAAATTAGGAGGGCAATAATGAGTGCAAACCAGAAAATACAACCTGGTGAAATGAATCTGGTGAAAAGCTGGAGTTCACTATTCCAGCCGTGTGTGCAGTAATGGACACAGTCCTGGTGTTAGCCTGTAAAATACACACAGATTGCTGAGCATTTTGCTGGAGTCACATCATTGTGTGCTGAGACACTTCATAAGCCCTTAGACATCCTGTGCTGTGTGAACAACATCCTCCTGTTATCCAAAATAACCCTCTGACTGCAGCTTCGGTGTTCAATATCCTTCTCCAACAGATGTTTTCTGGCAAATGTCTTCCTGCATTAGAGAAATCCCCCCCAAGAAGCAGCAGGACACCTGCAGGAAGTGAATCAAGGCTCTGGAGCAGAAGAAAAAATAATCACCTGCTTTAAAATAAATAAATAAAAGTACTGTTGGAAAAAGAAAAAAAAAAAAAAGGAGAAGCATTTCTTTCGATTTGTTTTTAGGTGTAAAATTTTAATAATTAACGCAGAATTCTGTAATTGTTGACTCATTAGTGGCTAATGTTTGAAGCAGCTCTTGCAGTGAGTCTGTGGTGTGCTGATGGAGCCCTCCAGGCAGAGTTTGTGATGTTTGGGCAGCAGGAGCTGTCCCGGGGCCAGCAGGGGCCAGGCTTGCTTTATTTCCTCTGCAGCCTGGGAGCTGCCCGGGCTGTGCCTGTGCTGGGCAGTGTGACACTGTCCTGGGCTGTGTGTGACACCCTGTGCAGTGTGTGACACTGTCCTGGGCTGTGTGTGACACTGTCCTGGGCTGTGTGTGACACCCTGTGCAGTGTGTGACACTGTCCTGGGCTGTGTGTGACACTGTCCTGGGCTGTGTGTGACACCTTGTGCAGTGTGTGACACTGTCCTGGGCTGTGACACTGTCCTGGGCTGTGTGTGACACCCTGTGCAGTGTGTGACACTGTCCTGGGCTGTGACACTGTCCTGGGCTGTGTGTGACACCTTGTGCAGTGTGTGACACTGTCCTGGGCTGTGACACTGTCCTGGGCTGTGTGTGACACCCTGTGCAGTGTGTGACACTGTCCTGGGCTGTGTGTGACACTGTCCTGGGCTGTGTGTGACACCCTGTGCAGTGTGTGACACTGTCCTGGGCTGTGACACTGTCCTGGGCTGTGTGTGACACCCTGTGCAGTGTGTGACACTGTCCTGGGCTGTGTGTGACACCTTGTGCAGTGTGTGACACTGTCCTGGGCTGTGACACTGTCCTGGGCTGTGTGTGACACCCTGTGCAGTGTGTGACACTGTCCTGGGCTGTGTGTGACACTGTCCTGGGCTGTGTGTGACACCTTGTGCAGTGTGTGACACTGTCCTGGGCTGTGACACTGTCCTGGGCTGTGTGTGACACCCTGTGCAGTGTGTGACACTGTCCTGGGCTGTGACACTGTCCTGGGCTGTGTGTGACACCCTGTGCAGTGTGTGACACTGTCCTGGGCTGTGTGTGACACTGTCCTGGGCTGTGACACTGTCCTGGGCTGTGTGTGACACCCTGTGCAGTGTGTGACACTGTCCTGGGCTGTGTGTGACACTGTCCTGGGCTGTGACACTGTCCTGGGCTGTGTGTGACACCCTGTGCAGTGTGTGACACTGTCCTGGGCTGTGTGTGACACTGTCCTGGGCTGTGACACTGTCCTGGGCTGTGTGTGACACCCTGTGCAGTGTGTGACACTGTCCTGGGCTGTGTGTGACACTGTCCTGGGCTGTGTGTGACACCCTGTGCAGTGTGTGACACTGTCCTGGGCTGTGTGTGACACTGTCCTGGGCTGTGACACTGTCCTGGGCTGTGTGTGACACCCTGTGCAGTGTGTGACACTGTCCTGGGCTGTGTGTGACACTGTCCTGGGCTGTGTGTGACACCCTGTGCAGTGTGTGACACTGTCCTGGGCTGTGTGTGACACTGTCCTGGGCTGTGACACTGTCCTGTGCAGTGTGTGACACTGTCCTGGGCTGTGTGTGACACCTTGTGCAGTGTGTGACACTGTCCTGGGCTGTGTGTGACACTCTGTGCTGTGCAGTGTGTGTGCTCTGTGTCCTGTACAGCCCATGGAACTCCATGTCCTGTACAGTCCCCATGTGTCACATCCTGTACAGCCTGTGTGCATCACGTCCTGTACAATCCATGGAACTCCATGTCCTGTCCATCCCTGTACTCACTCCATGTACATCATGTCCTGTCCATCCCCATATTCCATCCCTGTGCCCAGTGTCCTGTCCATCCCAGTCCATCCCTGTCCCCCGTGTCCTGTCCATCCCAGACCATCCCTGTCCCCTGTGTCCTGTCTGTCCATCCCTGTCCCCCGTGTCCTGTCCATCCCAGACCATCCCTGTCCCCTGTGTCCTGTCTGTCCATCCCTGTCCCCTGTGTCCTGTCCATCCCAGACCATCCCTGTCCCCTGTGTCCTGTCTGTCCATCCCTGTCCCCTGTGTCCTGTCCATCCCAGACCATCCCTGTCCCCTGTGTCCTGTCTGTCCATCCCTGTCCCCTGTGTCCTGTCCATCCCAGACCATCCCTGTCCCCTGTGTCCTGTCTGTCCATCCCTGTCCCCCGTGTCCTGTCCATCCCAGACCATCCCTGTCCCCTGTGTCCTGTCTGTCCATCCCTGTTCCCTGTGTCCTATCCATCCCAGACCATCCCTGTCCCCTGTGTCCTCTCTGTCCATCCCTGTCCCCTGTGTCCTGTCCATCCCAGTCCATCCCTGTCTCCCATGTCCTGTCCATCCCAGACCATCCCTGTCCCCTGTGTCCTGTCCATCCCAGACCATCCCTGTCCCCTGTGTCCTGTCTGTCCATCCCAGACCATCCCTGTCCCCTGTGTCCTCTCCTGTCCATCCCTGTCCCCTGTGTCCTGTCCATCCCAGACCATCCCTGTCCCCTGTGTCCTGTCCATCCCAGACCATCCCTGTCCCCTGTGTCCTGTCTGTCCATCCCAGTCCATCCCTGTCCCCCGTGTCCTCTCCTGTCCATCCCTGTCCCCTGTGTCCTGTCCATCCCAGTCCATCCCAGTCCAGCCCTGTCTCCCTGTCCATCCCAGTCTATCCCTGTCCCCCATGTCCTGTCCATCCCAGTCCATCCCTGTCCCCTGTGTCCTGTCCATCCCAGACCATCCCTGTCCCCTGTGTCCTGTCTGTCCATCCCAGTCCATCCCTGTCCCCCGTGTCCTCTCCTGTCCATCCCTGTCCCCTGTGTCCTGTCCATCCCAGTCCATCCCAGTCCAGCCCTGTCCCCCGTGTCCTGCCTGGCAGCTCAGGGCTGACTCCAGACCTGGGGCTGTTCCTGCAGTCCCCCAGCACCCAGAGGCCTGTGAGGAGAAGGGGTCACTGCAGTCCAGACTCTGGGGTGTCGTTGGGAATTTAGAGGTGGCACAAGTATTAACTTTTAACAGTCTTTATTCTCGATGTTGTAGTATCCTTTCCTTTCGCACCACCAACTTTTTGGGCTCTCCAGGGGTTTTCACGGAACAAGTCTGTAGTGTAAAACTAAAAGATCATGTTGCAACTTTGTATAAAAACCATCTTGCAAAACAAAGGCCTTTTTTTTTTCTTTGGCTTGGGACTTTTGAGACAATTCCTAACATACCTGTAATTCTTGCTTTTATAATTTGTGTTAGCAGAGACTCTGATGCGTTGGAAATGTAGATTAAATGTGCACTCCTGTGCTTTCTGCCAAGTGGTCATTCACTTTGGAGTTTTACTATGTTCAACCTGTAAATACAGCAGAACGTCAATAAATGTCACTTCTGTAGCAATTGTTGCTGTAGGACAATGTTTAATTGAGTTTTGATGTGTTATTGCACTTGGTTATCCATGACAAACACAGATTATCTGGGGGCATTCCATCTCCTTCCATGGAAGGTGTAACACAAATCTCCAGGGTGTCCATCTCCTTTGTAAGCAAGCCTGTCAGGAAATGGTGATTCCATTTTGGGGGATTTGTTGGATTTTTTGGTAGTTATATGACTTACTGACCCATGAAACTGGTTTTGGTTCACAGCTGAACTTCTCAAATGTACAGTCCCCACAAACAAGCAGTTGGGACTGACAGAGATGGATAGAGGTTCCCCAGAGTCCTCTTTGAACAGGAGTAAGTGAACACAGAATTAGGAGTTTTATCCTACAAGGCAAAATCTGCAGCATTGGGGAACTCTGAATCACATTTGCCCAAACTTGGTCGATCAGCCTCGTGTTTGCTCTCCTGGCATCTGGGCCTTATTTGGGCTTGACTATCCAGAGAACTGGAATATTTGGCATTCCTGCTGCTCCTCCTGCGGTGCCTGAAGCTGCAGACACCTCCAGCTCCGTGTTCCTGCCCAGCCAGGGGCTCTGGGAGGGTGCTGGGGTCTGGAGGAGCCACGCTGTGTTTGGGGTGGGGTCACAGGCTCCAATACTTGTGCTGGGTGTGGGACAGCCCAGCCACCTCACAGCACCAAAGTGGCGGGGCTGTGGTCACCTGCAGCGACCAGGTAAATACCTCTGGCCTTCCCTGACAGCCAGGCTGGGGTGCAGGCTTGGGGCATTCTTTTTTTCTGAGATTTTTGGGTAAAATGGACAAAAGCCAGGCAGGGAAGGAAATTACCAGAGCACAGGGATTAAGTCACTGTTTAAAGTAAACAAGATACGTCCTAGAAAGTAATTACAAATCATGGGATTTACATGGATACAAACCTTATTTTACCAAGCTTAAACTGTGTTAATAAAGCCTCATATCAATGAATATAACAAAGCAAAAGGCAGGGATCTGACAGGCTCTGGAGCATCGGGAAGGTCTGTGCTGGGTGCCTTGGTGCCAGGGGATGACACATGGTCCATGTGCCAGGGCCAGGTGGAGTGAAGAACAGGAGCACTCTGGACTTGCTTTTAAAAAAACTCTACTTAATAGAAGCTCTGCCAAGTAAAAAATCCGTGTTTCCAAAATATCCTTCACCCCTCAGTGAGCTCTAATGGGCTCCTGAGCTGTAACCTCGGGTGCTTTTCACTGGAGCTCCTGGGATCCCCCCTGGAGCATCCTTGGGGCTCTGGGGGTGGTATGAGGGGCAGTGGGTGAGGGCAGGGGACACCTGGAATCACCTGCAGTGGTGTCACCTGCCCGTGGTGTCACCTCTGGGTCTGGGGGCAGCATGAGGGGCTTGGTGGGGCAGAATGCCCCATGGCACTGTCACACAGCACAGGGGACAAGGTAGGTGGCAGCTCAGAGGAACCGTGGGAAGAAAAGCCCATCTCCCACCAGATTCTGTGTTTGGTTTTGTTGTTGCTTTAACCAAAGTGGCCGGAGCGCCGTAATTAAAGGCTCAGTGGCTCTAATTGGAGTAGGTTTAAACTCGAGGTCAAAATCCCTTCTGGCACTTCCTCTGCCTAATAACCATCAACAGAAATCAAACAAATCCAAGCGGCTCCAGCCCCTAATCTGCGACCAGCAAAGGTCGT